TTTTGAAATTTTTTACGATATTAGTTAAATATGGTACAAGTAGGCAAGCTAGCATTTAACTTGTTGTATGCAATGCATCCAAGAGATGTTGTTTATTTCATGATGTATATCTTGATATATACAAATCAAATAAAGAGATGATGTTTATTTACTGGGATAATCCAAAAAAAAAAAAATAAATTATTACTTTTTTTATATAGGTATTTTATATTATTAAATAAATTTTTGTTTTATTTTTAAAAAATAATTAACTATTGAAAAACAAATTGTATTAATTAAAATAATTAAATAATAGAATTATAATATTGAAATAAATTTTAAAGAAAAAATTTATTAATACATAAAATTTAATAAAAACTATAATTCTTATATATAGTATATATAAATCTATACTGTATCTTAGATAAAATTTTTAAAAAATAGAAATTTTATTACTAGTTTTTAAGTTATCTAATCTAATTTAGATTTTGTTTCAATTATTATATATTTATTATAGAAGAAATATAATTATTATTTTTTAGAAATTATTTAAAATACTTAAATATTTCAAATATATTTTTATTTTAAATTTTAGAAAAAATAAATTATTTATTATTATTATTTATAATTTTAAAAGATCTTAAGTATATATTTAAGAAACTCATTTCTTTTAAATTATATTAGATTAAAATAATCACAGATTAGAATATTCTTTATATAATAAAGTCTACTATTATAAATTTTTATTTGAGTTAATAAATTTATTATTAAAATTAAATTAAAAAAATTTTCTAATACAAATTTTGTTATTTTAATTTGTTTTTAATTTATAATTGTTAGAAAGATTACATGTTTTATCTTATATGATCTAACTAAATTAAAAAATAATTAAGAATTATTAAATATAATATACTATATATAAAATGTTTAATAAACTTGTATATAAAAATATTGTGATTAAGAATTATTGAATATAAGATATATAAAATATTCAAATAAACCTGCATATAAAGAATAATATACTTTAATAAAGTCTTATATCTAATGTTTTTAGTTAATTAAAAATAAATAAATAAATAATAATATACTTTTTGCTTCTTATAAGTATTGAACTAAAGATATATATTTGAAAACTTGGAATCACTACCTACTGTGCTATTGATTTACAAATCTTAATATATAAATATAAAATATATTAATAAAAAATTTTATAATTTAAATTTATTACAAATAATTTATTTATATATAAAGTTATAAATTTAATTATTTAAAAAAAATTGATTGATTTTTATAAAGAATATTATTTTTATTGATACAATATACAATATATTGTTAAAACATATTATTAAAAACTTTTGATTTAAATTTTTATTAAATATTTAAAGAAATTCATTGACTTTTAATAATAAAATAATTTGAATCTTTTATTTTATCTCGAATTTACAATACTGTATGTATATCAATAATATATTTTAATTCGTTTTTTTAAATTCGAACAATATAATTTAGATTTAATAATTAAAAAATATACATGTTTTTGCTTTATATTTATTGTATTTTCTTGTGCATTAATTTCTTCAAATCTCTATTTAAAAATGCATTTGATTCAAACAACATAAAAACTGTGCTTAAATTGGAAATCCATGACATATTTCCTACATAATAATACGTGCTGTATATAGTATATATGAAAAATTTTGTAAAAATCTAATTAATGAAATTTAAATACAGTAATTAGAAACTCGTAAATATACATGTTACTGTTAATTATTTATGTAATAAATTTTTATGATTCTTGCAAATGTAAGCTTGCACTTTGCATTGTTAACCACATTGTAGTAATTATTGTTATTGTCAACCTAAAAATTTGAGATAATGAAGGTGGAGGTTTATAAGTTGAGCCGCCAATGGAAGATCGACCGCATCACTTAATTTATCAACATTCCCTGAAGGCCATTGTGATAGCACTTTCATTCAACACATTTTGTACGATGATGCTTATTAAATTAATTCAAGGGAACACGAAGAGGTACGGGGAGAATTTGATGATGACGAAATAATTACATTATACTTGGGGGACAGTTGGTGATAGATAAAGGGCTTTTTCGATTTCCTAGGGTATTTTGAAACTTTGAGAAAAAAGTTTTCTTTCCGAGAAACAACATTTTTTGAGAAAATAAATTATTAGATTTATTTATGTCTTTTCAAGTTGTAAGGTATTATCGAATTAATCTTCATCTGATAATGGAAGATACAAGACAACTCAAATTCGCGTTAATTTTTCAATTCTTTAAATTCGCTCGTGGCACTTTTTTCTCGGTTAATTGTATTGCCCAAAATTAATCGATTATCCAGAAAATAAAATGAGCGAATCCGAACTTGACGAATTTCGTAAAAGAACATCACGATTACTCGAAGCCTTCGTTTACGACTACCTTAAGAAAACCGGTTATAATGAAACTGCAAAGACATACTTCAGAGAAGTAAAATTAAATAACTGGCCACCTACATGGCTCGAGCAGATAATAACACCGGTTTCACCAATTTCACCTGACCCTGTCGTTTCCGACTCCATAATCACTGCCGACATCTCTGTTGACTTAGATGATGCAATCAACGAGAACTCGAACATTTTAGTATCGGCTCCAAACATAACTTCTTCATCGCACGCTACATCACCGATCGATGTCAACTCTTCTTCGCAAACTCCCCCTCTCATAGTCCTTCAACCTTCAAATTTACAGATTCATGATAAAGATTTGAATACCGAGGAGAAAGTTGACGGAGATCATGACGCCGTTGACCTCGTTGATCTGCAAACTTGCGGAAGTCCAAGAGATGATCAAATTTCGATGAAATTCGAAGAACTCGTTTCCGCCTCTTCGATAACAAATCTGGAAATAAAATCCGAACCTGGTGCTCATGATGAAAATTCGCGAGACTCTCCCCTTCGCTCAATAAACACACGTGAAAAAATGTTACCGCCAAGAATTAGTAGCGAATCTAGTATCGAATGTGAAAGCGAAGTTAGTGGAGACCAACTACCAGATTTAAAATTGCCTTTAGAGGGACGAGATGGGTTCTTGCAAGATTGGTGGATCGTTCTATGGGAAAATTATAAAGAGTTGTACAAAAGAAAGACAGGAAACACCTTGGAACATTATTGATTATGAAGGAAGATAAATGATGTATTGGTGGGAGAAAATCTCTGCTTCATCGGTAATATTTATTCGGTGGCTTAATCTTTTGTATCATGAACACACGTTGAAAAAATTCTGAGGAACGAGGATTGTTATTTTGAAGGACGATTCTAAATTTTATAATTTGAATATAAATCGCACGTGCGAGAACAGAACAATCGAATTCAATTAAATCTAGACTGAGGTAGAATCATCGTCTAAATTGTGCGCGTCCAACATGATCTTGTTTTTACTGTGCCGATAAATATTTTATGAAAAATCATTTTAGAGTTAAGAGTTAATCTACAGTATTATACCGGATCCTTAGAAATTCTAAAAGGATAAGGTCATTTATGCATGGTTTTATCTGAATGACAGGAATGAACTCAACGAGGGAGGATTAAAATATAAGTAAACAAACAAATAATAAATATAAGGTGAAAATAGAGGGTTGAATGAATCAAGTCTTTTTTACATCCCTCAATTTTCTAAATAATAAATTAATGAAGAATTACGAATTAAGTACTTTTATAGTATATCATAGTATATTAATTTATATTGTGCGAGCGATATCTTTGCGATTAAATATTTATTCCGAGTTACCAATCTAATTTTCCAGCTTGGCCTTCATCACCTTTCGAAAAACTTCCTAGCATTGATCCACGATACAGTTCTTTAATGACCTTCCCTTCCATTACCGTTTTCTCTACGATCATTCGAACATGACATGGGGTCACTCGGCCATACCAGATTCCTTGACCATCGCGATAAACAATCACGTTTCCGGCAAAATGATGACCTATTAGAAATAATTATATCAAAAATGTAAATGGATGAAAAAAAATCATGTTCCGGAATTAGGTTGAAGGACTTTAATACCTCCTACATGACTTGACAAATACACTGCCACACCCTTGTTCCCACTGCTCTGTATATCCAACTTCATGTCTTCTAAGACTTTGTCAAATTCATCCTTTAGCATTGGTCCAGCTACTCCACATCTAATATCTCTTCTCTTATGACCACATATTAATATCACTGATTTATAAGGAATCAACATAGTTTCAAATTTTTCTTCACCCTCACTTTCATCTTGAGTCTCTCGTTTTTCACTCGAGAGAAAAAGGTTATAGAATTCTTTCGCCTTTTGAGTGGAAACTTTAGAAATCAATAAATTGTCCGGGAACAAAAGTACGTCATTTCCCCGGTTAAATAAAGAAAAAGATGACGGACAGCTACTGTTTGTAATTAAAATCTTTTCTTTCTTGGCTTTCTTTTGCGTACTTATTGTTTTCAAGGGAGGTTCCTTCTTTATAACGGGTGAATCAACGGCATTCAAGTTAAATAATTCCGAAGAAAGACTACCTTTCTCTAATTCAATCACCTTTTCCCAATCCTTTTTACCAGTGCAGATAACCACATGCCTAACATACGGTTGAACCGTATTTTTTAATGGCAATTCATGATCTATCTTTAACTCTGATGGATAGGAAAGATGTGTTGAGCATGGAGATTGACAAGTAAGACATGGATTTTGTGATGAAATTTCAGGTATCGAGATCGTTTGTTCAGGTAATGGCGGCTTTACGGATTGTTCGAAAGGATTGTTGGGTCGAAAATTGTTTAAAGAAGGTTGTGGATGCTGTACAAAGGATGAACGAGATGTGAAAGCCGACTGGAAAAAGGTAATAAGTTTATTCATCCTTATACGACTGTGAATTGATCGAGAGGATTTCAAAATAGAAGAGAGCATGGAAGACAAGAAAAATATGTAGCCAATTATTTTGGGGCAAGTGCGAGAATCATGTTTGTTATCACATGCGTATTACCCATATTATTGCATTATGGGACATACGTTTTATGATAAGAAAAAGGTTTTTAATTGGACATTTTCGTTGTGATATTGTAGTTTTTAAGGAGTACAATATCATGGGGCTTGGAGCTTCAATGAAATATTCACGAAATTAAGGGAAATTGAAACGTAAAATACTTAAGAATTGATCATGAATAGAGTAATATTTCCGAGCATCATGATCTCATTAAAACTTGAGATATATAATTCAAGTAATAGTAATTGAACTTGGGTCTTTGAATTTAATTGCGGACTGTTTGTGAACTTGCTGACTGAATTGGTCGTGCGCAACACTCTAGAACGCCCTTTCATGTGACACGGTAGATCATTTATTTAAAACAGGGCGACCGGGCTTTCTGAGGTGATTCTGTTGTCTTTTATTATATACCCTCGTTTTTCTGTAAATTTCCTTTTGCCTTCAGATCATCATTCCCTTCCTCGTGCAAGTTATAAAATTTCGAAAGTATTTATGGTTATTACGATAAAGGAGTGAGGATCATCATTTAGTCAAGATCGTCGGATCCCTGTGGTCACTGATTATGGAAAACGCGGGGTCCGAAAGAACCTTGTGATATTCCAAAGAATTTTTGAATGATCTCCAATAAGTCTAGATTATAGCCACATAACGTAAGTATAATGTCATACGAAACTTCCGTAATTAGTTATTCGGCAATCGAGGTGTAATTGAGGATATTGAAACGTTCACGAAAGGATATATTCAGATTCCTAAATCATGATATTGTGTGACAGCTATTTCAATTGTCAAGTAAAAGCAGATTAGTTAATGTAGAAAATAAAAAGAATTTTTCAGAGAAGAAATAATATACAGTATATGAAATGAGTATATAAAACTATCAACCGAAAAACATATTTTCTCCGTTATATTTATTTATTGTTTCATGTTTCACGTTTGTTTTCACGGATATTGTTTTTCAATCTGTAAAATACAATTCGTAATTGGCGAACGATAATTTGTAATTGTTCGTGATCGTGGGATGTTCCAATTCGTGTGGAGACGATCTTTGATTATGTATTCGTGATCAGAGGTTATACAACAGTAGTTAAATAAAGCAAATTAAAATATAATTGATAGTTTGATTATTATTGAATTTATTATCCGCCATCAGTCTATTATATTAAACTTTCTATTTAATTTAATTAAATTTTTTTAATAAAATTGCAAAATAATAAATTGTAAAATGAAATTAAAAGAATAATGTAATTAATTGTTAAGTAATAAGTTTAATATCTTACATTTAAAATATACAAATACAGTCAACTTCTGATAACATAACTTTTTATTATTATAACATATAATTAAAAATATATAATTTAGAATTATTGCATTAATATATATACAATATATTATTTTCATTATAGCATTTGTATATATTATTCTAATTATACTATAACTAATTGTTATAATTAAAAATAAAAGATTTATTTAATTCACATTATTTATTTTTTTAAAAATTATATTTATTATTTATTATTCATTTTGCTCATTTTTTTACTTAATTTTTAAAATTTTTTTTATATACATATGTATAACTTTATTATATTTAAAATAAAAATTATTTGTTAAAAAATTTAATATTATTATATTTTTAATTTTTAATTTTATTTATAAATTTTAATTTTATTTTAATTTTTAATATTATTTTAATTTTAATTTTTAATATTATTTTTTAATATTATTTTAATTTTAATTTTTAATATTATTTTTTAATATTATTTTAATTTTAATTTTTTAATAATATTTAATTTTTTATTTTATTTTTAATTTTTTAATAATATTTAATTTTTTATTTTATTTTTAATTTTTTAATATTATTTTATTTTTTATTTTATTTTTAATTTTTTAATATTATTTTAATTTTTATTTTATTTTAATTTTATTTTAATTTTTTATTTTAATTTTAATTTAATTTTAATTTTTAATTTAATTTTAATTTTTGTTTTTATTTTTATTTTTATTTTTATTTATAAATTTGAATATATTAAATATATAATAATATTATTAAAGTTTTAATTTTTTAAATAAAATATAAAATATAATAATATTTTTTAAATTTAAATATATAATATATAATAAAACTTTTTAAAATTTTTTTTAAAAATTTTAATTAATTATTATTATTATTATTATTTATTTTTTTAAGATATTAAATATAAAAACAAATTATCAAAAATTATCTCCTGATCATGTTTATTTTGTTAAAAAAATTTTTTTTATGGTAATTTTAAGCAAAAAAAAATGGTTTATACTCTTTATTGTAAGTGAGTTTCAGTTCAAGAATTTAAGAACCTTCAAGATAATTGATGCAGTAAGATGAGATCTCTAGTCAAAGTTTATTCAAGTTTGGGAGTCTTGTTTATTCTTCGGTTGCATGAGAAAAGGTTTATGGCAATTTTATTTTCTTTTGTTCTTTTGCACCCTTCTTTCTTTCTATTATATTATAAAAACTATTCATATCAATATTATTATACTTACTAAATTAAACACCTTCCAAAAAACATACTCAAACAATATTATTGGATCTATTGTTTATTTTAATACAATTTTTATATACAATCTTATCATGATACTATGGTTCTGAAAATTGGAATCGAATAGAATCGAACAGAATTGCATAAGGTTCGAAACACTATTAAAAATGATAATAGGATATACCCCACCTATTAAATTTAATATAAACTTAAGAATCGAATACAGAATCGAAGAGAATCGTTAGGATCCTTACATGACACTATCTATTGTGCCATTTCAAAATTCTTTAAAAAATTTTTTCAAAAAACTGAAATCAGTTTACTCTATACATGTGGTATAAATTATTTTGCTGTTGACTCAATTCCCAAAATCCTCAAAAATAATTGTGTCATAACTCAAT